GGCTAATTTTTGTATTTTTAGTAGAGATAGGGTTTCACCATGCTGTCCAGGCTGGTCTCAAACTCCTGACCTCAGGTGATCTGCCTGCCTTGGCCTTCCAAAGTGCTGGGACCACAGGCGTGAGCCACTGTGCCCGGCCGGTTTTTGCCATTATTTTTAATATTTTTAATGGCAAAAGCCACAATTACTTTTTGCACCAACCTTAGTAATCTTTAACACCTGAAAAGCTGCTGCCCAATATATCCAAGCATACATCCTAAAATTACAGTTTAAAATATTTTTAAATGAAATTTGACGCTAATATTTGCAGAACTGCCAAAACCTGCCTTGGAAACCTGGTTTGGAAGACGAATGAATGAGATAGCAGTAGGGTCTTGTTCAGCTCAAAAGCGTCTGTTTCTAAGGTTGCTTTCATTGAGACTCTGTCGGGAATTCCACGGAGGGGAGAAGGAATGGCCACCCTGAAGATTTAGACTCTCCTAGCATTAAAGTAAAAGCCTGAGAAGACTGAGAAGGGCTTTTAGAAGGCTGTGGGCAAAGAAGAAGGATCCACTTAAGTGGAATGAAAACAGTTTAACTGTTGAACTTGCACAAGGCAGATGGTTCAAAAGCAAATCAGGGAGATAGCAGCAGCTCTTTCTCCTTCCAAGAGCCTCCAGTTTTTAAGATTAAAAACCCACATCTTTATCCCAAAAGTTTGGGAGCCTGGGAATAGAGAAGGACGAACTATAACATGTTGATTGTTTTACTGACAGCTTGAGTTCTGAAGTCAGCTCATTCACCAAAGACGCACATGCCAAATACGCTATAGATACAAATGGAACCAATCGCCAACTTTAAAAGTCAGAATATTTTTGCATAAAAGTCTGGATTTCTGGCTTTGCTTATTACAACTGGAAGCACTGACAGCAGTGGGCTGGTTTGGCCATGGCGATTCTGGGGTAGAGTCAGGCTGCTCATACCCACCCTAGACACAATCTCTGCCTTCCACATGTCCAGTCTCCATCTCTCCCTGCTGCTCACCCAACTGCATGGAAGTATCTAGATTAGTCACTAGCTCCTGTGAGCATTTGAGTGTGGTGCCTGTGGAAGAGGTGGTTGTGCTCTAGAGACTGAAATTGGAGTGAGGTCTAACAGGAATGGGAGAGAAGGCTCGCTCTCACAGCTCTTGCACCTTGAATTGTGACCTGAATCAAATCATAACTACTTCTGCAAGGCTCAGTTTCCTCATTTGTAAAATAGATGCAGAAATCCCTGCCCTCCCTAAAGTGTGGGTTGTGATGAGGATCAGATGACAGCATCTAAAGCTTTATAAACTGTGAAGTTCTGTGGTCCACATCAGTGGTTTGCTATATCTCACATTCATCTATTCCCCCTTCATCTGGTACCAGAACCCGAATTTGCATCTCAGGAGTAATCTCTTCTATTCTCAGTTCCAGTGGTAGACATTGGGTCAGTCCAGCCAATTAGAGTTCTGCCTTCTCCTAGATACAACAGTTGGTTTAGGGCTAGGCATATGGGCCAATTGGGACCAATAGAGTTGAGGCTAGGACTGTTGGGAAAGAGAAGCTCTCTTTTCTATTGAAATTGGAGACAGCAGCATATTGGCTACCATGTTGCTAACCTGGGGGTGGCAAGTCTGAGAATGAAAATGAAAAAGAGAAAAGAAGAATGGAAAGATGAGAAGAGGCAAGGTCTGGGTCACATAATCTGAAGCCATGGGTCCAGATATACACCAGCAAACATATTCTTTTTGCTTTAACCAGATTAAATGGGGCTAACTCATTGGAGCCCCGTACCCCCACTGTTTTTTTTTTGTTGTTTTTTTTTTACACTATCAGGCAGACTTGTGAGCTTTTGTTTGATTTTGTTTCATTTCCCTGGGCACTCTCTGACTCCAAGTCCCGGGGAGCTCCTGCAGCTGCCACTAGTTCCTCCCTCTGCCTGGATTTGACCATCCACACTGCCTTCTTGAAGTTCCTGAGAGGGTCCTGCTGTGAGGCTCTTGCTGAAAGGCACTGGAAACGCTCTCGGATCAGATAACCATGCCTGCTGGGGGCAATGAAGCCACTAGTGGTTGGGATGATTCTGTTTACCACAGCATGGACAAACTGGACTGTCAGCAGGGTGCCTGTAAGGTGAAGAGAAGGACACACATGAGAAAAATGGGGTGTAGAGGCCCTCTACTAACTTTGGCATGACATTTATTATGCCAAAGAGTCCCTCTTCCTTTATCTGCACAATGGGAATGATAACGGAACCTACACCTACCCAGGGCAATTTTTAAGATTGAAAGTCACCATGCAGGTCATGTGTTTAGTGTAGGTTTTTGGCCCAGAGTGAGCTCAGTAAATATTATTGTTGAAGGAGGAGAAGAAAGAGAGGTTGTGAACTGGCCCAGGATGGGCTTTTAAAGCCACAATCCTCAACCTTCAGCTTCTGAGCCATCTGTAACTTTATACCAGTTATATATATATCTTTGCTACAGCATATTATACTACAATGTATTATAGTGTTATAGTTTACTATGTATCAGATTACAGTGTATTCAACTACAATGTTATTAGGCTCCACCTGATATTTATTCAGCCACTTACTTGTTTTGTGACCTTGGGCAAGTCTCCTAACCTCTGATCCTTAGTTTCTTCATTGTCAAACAAGGATAGCAATGATACTTATCTTCTATCAGTGTCATAAGGGTTCAAAGAGGTAATACACAATATGTGCCTTTTCTATAGAAGACAGTGTAAGAGAGTGACAAAGGCGTACTGAAATCAGGCAGATCAGCTTCAAACCTAAGCCTAGTAGTTACTCCCTATGTGACCTGGGCAAGTCTGCCAGCCTCTCAGAGCCTCAGTTTTTGCTCTGTAAATGGGAGTGAGTGTTGAGAGAGTTAAATGACTTAAGGACAGTACACACTATACAATAAATGTTAACTCATTTTTTTTTTTGACAGGGTCTCACTCTGTTGCCCAGGCTGGAGTGCAGTGGTGCTATCATGGCTCACTGCAACCTCAATCTCCAGTGCCTCGACTTCCCATGATCACTTTATCCTCCTGAGTAGCTGGAACTACAAGCATGTATCACCATGCCTGGATAATTTTTATTTTTTATTTTTTATTTTGCAGAGACAGTCTTGCTATGTTGTCCAGACAAGTCTTGAACTCCTGGTCTCAAGCAATTCTCCTACATTGGCCTCCCAAAGTGCTGGGATTGCAGTCTTGAGCCACTGCACCCAGCCAATGTTAACTCTTGCTAAGACCTTAGCATAATACTGAACAGACCAAGAGACATGGTGTTTTCAAAGTGGTTGGTGTTAAAACAGGCTGCTTCTGGCCAGGTGTGGTGGCTCACACCTCTAATCCCAGCACTTTGGGAGGCTGAGGTGGGTGGATCACCTGAGGTCAGGAGTTCAAGAGCAGCCTGGCCAACATGGTGAAACCCCGTCTCTACTCAAAATACAAAAATTAGCTGGGTGTGGTGGTGGGCGCCTGTAATCCCAGCTACTCGGGAGGCTGAGGCAGGAGAATTGCTTGAACCTGGGAGACGGAGACTGCAGTGAGCTGAGATTGCACTGCTGCACTCCAGCCTGGGCGACAAAGCGAGACTCCATCTGAAAAACGCAAAACAAAAATCAAAAACAGGCTGCTTCTAACGTCTATAAGGCCTGGGGGCAAAGAACGAAATAAGACCCACATCCTAGAAGACACAATATATAAACATTGCAATTCTAGGGAATAAACTATTAAATAGAATATGCTGTGTCCTCTTATATTGATGAAGGAACCTTCACAAACACATGGAAGGTTTGGAACAGATTGAGAATTCTTGGGTTCCTCAGGGTTCTATGCTGGAATGTAGTGATGTAACCAGCCTCCTGCTACTAGTGACTTGACCTTCTTCTCTTTTCATTCTTCCCAGCTCCATCTCACAACCAGCTCAGACACCCAAACTCCATCCACACCACCCCATGGCTACTCCTGAGCCCAGAAGTGAACACAGCAGGGGCACAGTCTATCCTCGGAAGGATGGCTGTATGCAGGAAGCCTGTGCAAGCCCTAACACAAACTCAAGACTCTATAGGGAGTTCTCGAACTCCAGAGCATGGGTCTAGAAGAGGGATTGTGGGCCCTTTGCCTTTGCCTGCAGACACCTTCCTAAAAGCTAAGGGATGTAGCTAGAGGTGGCCAGAGCAGGGCCCTCTAATACCCAGGACCCAGATCAGAGCCTTTCTCTCCAGATCGAAGCTCAAGCTTGCCCTAAAAGCAAAATGACTCACCGTCCAGCACACTCCAAACAAGTATAGAGCGATCCTTTAAGCCCACGTACACATACTTGTCATCCTTGGAGAAGCAAGCACATTGGACCCCTCTGCAGTAAGAACTCTGTTGAAAACAGACAAGATGATCTCTCTTTTTCTTGGGATTTTTGTTTGTGCGTGTGT